ACCTGTTTTCCTTGTTACCTTCTGGGAGGAGGCTTCGTGGTATCCGAAGCAGAACATCCAGATTCAGCCAGAGTTTCATTCCATACAGCATTAACCTTGCGAACTCTCAAGCTTCCTCCTTCCGTTATATATTCAAGATGGACAATATTTAATATTTATTTGCTACGTATATGTAGGGATGTGGGTCTATACATATGTTCATAGTATGTTTAGGTGTGTGTCAAGTATGTGTTTCACTCTAAGAGCGGGCAACTAAATTTCATTTTTGATGTGTGCCATCGTGCCCACAGTATAAAAATGACAATAAAGCTTATCTTATCTTATCTTATCTTATCTTATCTTATCTTATCTTATCTTATCTTATCTTATCTTATCTTATCTTATCTTATTTAGCATCCTTAAAATGATTTCAATTAGATATCCTGTTAAATGTCTTCTTGGCTATTGCGGTTGATAACCTGGCAGATGCTGAAAGTCTGAACACAGCCCAGAAAGAAGAAGCAGAAGAAAAGGAGAGGAAAAAGAGTGCCAGGTACAGAGACAATTACACAAGATATGCACATTTTTTGTAGTTTTCTTCATTTTCTCTTTTCATTCTTTTGAAAGAGAAAATTTGAATAGTATAAGCAGGGTAGAAAACTGATGCAAAGTACACTGTTAGAATGATATACCTTGAATTTGCAAATAACATATAGGCATAGAAAATGTCTTGCTCCATTCTTTCTATGAAAGAAATTTTACCAAAATTCATCTATATGTGCAAATCATAAGGGTAGGAATAGTTGTAAAAAAATGAGGCACAAATTACAAATAATGTGTTCAGAGGATTGCTTCATTTGTCTATCCATCCATTTATCCATCCATCTGGAAGAAGAATAGGATTTTAAGAACAAAAAGGGGAAGCTACTGAGCAATTTAAAATCAGGGTAGGCATAGACTGTTGTTATGTTTCCAGTTTTATTACAATCTTTAATTGACCAAGATTCTGGATCTTTAATCATTTTCCCCATGGTTTTGTTTCTATGGTCTTTGTAGAAAAGAGAGTTTGGATGCTAAAAAAAGGGACAAATCAGAAGGCGAACCAAAGAAGGCCAAGGATACTAAGGTACTTAAGATCTGCTCGCCTTTATAGCGAAGCTCTAGACCAGGGGTGTCAAACTGCCGCACCCACCCCAGCTCTGGCAATGTGAAAAAAGTCACGATACGTTGCGATACGTCATGTGACACAGCAAGTTTGACACCCATGGTCTAGACGGTAGAATGGATATATGCGATAGCTGCTCTGATTCCCACTTTATGCATATTTAGATGAAGATTTGATTTCCATTTACATCCTGGGCTGAAATTAGCAAGTTTACTCTGCTACTTTCCTATTTTTGAAATGTTTACTTTTCTGTTACTTGAGGTTACAATTAATGAATATGGAGAAGAGGAGGAAGAAGAAGAAGACAAAGATCCATATCCGCCTTGTGATATCCCAGGTACTAGTTCACTTTTGTACACTGGCAGAAAGTTTTATTGTGTCAAATGTGTCACAACTAAAAAAAAGCTCCAATTTCATTAACACGATTAGAAAAAAAGGTTTGAATCAAATATATAACAGTGCTGAATTATAAGATTGTGTAATTTGAATTGTAAATCTAATCTGTGTATACACACATATAAACATCCAGAGGCTATGCATTTTCACTCTATGAAGTGGAAACAGTGTCCATTTGAATGGGGCAATTATTTCCCTCCTCCATTATGGCCCCATACTATTCTGAAGAGTCCCCTGACTTTTAAAAAAGCCTGTTTGAGGGGTGGCAAAATAAAAAAGGGTCTGAAGATATTCTAGCATTAATAATCCTTGGTTTACATAATCTTTATAATCAATCTAGTATCTTCTGCATACCTTTAAATTGTATAAAAAATATACAGACACAAACACCATCGATGTTGCGCCTGAAATAACTTCTTCCCCATAGCAAGAACCTTCTTCTTGTTGGAATCAGAAACAAAAGGCCAAATGGTTAATGTATATATCTGGCACTTTTTCTAGCCTTTATTAAAGGAAGAAAATATAATATAAGGGCTAGAGTTGCAGTGGCATCTACAGAGGGTTTACCAATGGTTAGGAGGCATTATATCACTTTTTTACAGCTTAATGGCTCCTAATCATCATCAGCTTAATGGTTTACCAATGAATAGATTGAAAATTGTCATTCAGACTAGCAGGATATTTAAATAAATTATCATTCCTAAATTCCAAAGAGTGCTGATATTAGCATGTTTCAGTGCCTTCTCAACAGCTATTTTAAGGGCAAATATACAAGTTTCTGATGAGCTAAAATAGCACGCTGGCTGAGGAATTCTGGGAGTTGAAGTCATAAAAGGGCCAAGTTTGAAGACCCCTGAGCTAAGACATTGCCCTTATGGAATCTATTATCTTGCGCTTCTGTTTCTTAATACCATGTTTGGTAAAGTTCCCAATCAGTTCTGATTGATTTCACGTACGGCTACTCCTGGCAGACCAATATGACTCAATTTCCCTGATTTTTTTTAATACATTGTTTCCAAGACTTTGATGATATAGGTGGGATTTTATGTTTGTTTTTTCATCTTGAAGTAGAAACTATTTAATTTCTGGGTTAACTTGTAAAATCCTGGCCAGTGACTATAATAAAGAATTAACTAATTTTAAACTCAGAACAAGAAGGGAGCAGGTAGCCTAAAAGCACTGCTGTCAGCCAGAAACTATAGCTGATTCCACATGACAATGTAATTGTACTGTTCAGAAATTCCAGAAATGTCCTGTTATTTAACGTTTACATATATATCTTGCTGGCTATTTTGAACGTGGGCTTTGCTCAGAATTGTTTTAATTTACTTTGTAAATTAAATAATGTTTCACTATAAAGTAGGTGAAGAGGAAGAAGAGGAAGAAGAAGAGCCCGAAGTACCTGCAGGTCCCCGGCCCCGAAGGATATCTGAGCTTAATATGAAGGAGAAGATGACACCAATTCCTGAAGGCAGCTCCTTCTTTATTTTCAGCAATACAAACCCGTAAATAATCTTTTAAAGCATATCCCTGGAAATTATTATTTTTTGCAAATAAAACAATAGGGACACCTAACAACTAAAGCTTCTGCTGTTTTATTTAGCACAAGATTGAATATATAATTAAAAAATTTTTAACATGGAATTTGTTTTCAAATCAAACTCCTACCAGGATTGTGAAACATTTGTGCCAAATGATGCATTGCCTAAAGAGGGCACTTTAAATAGAGCAGGGGGTCTGCAACCTTGACAACTTTAAGGTTGTCTTTAAGACTTTAAGCATAGCTGGCTGAGGAATTCTGGGAGCTGAGTCCACAAGTCTTAAAATTGTCAAGGTTACAGACCCCTGAAACAGAGTATGTTGCAAATTGTGCTTTAATATTATCCAACACATAATAGCTTTAAAATAGAATATATGCATTCTATTACATCTATAGTTTTACTGAATTATCAACACAGTTAATAAAGTAACCGATTTCCAGTTTAGCGATACTCAGATGAGCATTTTTTGCCTTTGTGAGTATTTTATGAGTAATTAACCTGCCAGTCGTAACGTAACAGTCCATTTTATTTTCTTGTTCTTCAGGATTCGAGTGGGTTGTCATAGATTAATCAATCACCATATTTTTACCAACCTCATTCTTGTCTTCATCATGCTCAGCAGTGCTTCCCTTGCAGCTGAAGACCCTATTCGCAGTCATTCTTTTCGAAATAATGTAAGAAAAAATGGATTTTACAAACAATCTGCATGTATGATCTTCTTAAAATATGTCTTTCAAAACGGACTAGTCCATGAACATCTCAGGAGATGGCACCATCTAGCTGAACTTAGTTGATCCTGTGAGTTACGCAGGGTCAGCCCTGGCTATTTTTTTGACAAGAAAATGTCAACTGCTTGAAATTTCCAGAAATGTAATTTTATGTTACTTAAATTAATATCCCTTCAGTTTCTCACAGTATGATAGCACAAATATAATCCTATATATTGTTGTTGTTAGTTGTGAAGTCGTGTCCGACCCATCGCGACCCCATGGACAACGTTGCTCCAGGCCTTCCTGTCCTCTACCATCTTCCGGAGTCCATTTAAGCTCACGCCTACTGCTTCAGTGACTCCATCCAGCCACCTCATTCTCTGTCGTCCCCTTCTTCTATTGCCCTCAATCTTTCCCAGCACTAGGCTCTTCTCCAGTGAGTCCTTCTTTCTCATTAGGTGGCCAAAGTACTTGAAATTCAACTTCAGGATCTGGCCTTCTAAAGAGCAGTCGGGCTTGATCTCCTCATCCAATATATAGCCTGTCTATCATTTGTGAATTAGCTATGCCTTCTTGGCCTTAACTAATCTGCCACCAGCATAAAATTTTCTAGAAATGTTATGAGCCTAGATCACTTGATAGTTGCTTCACCTGTTTCAGTGCTACCTTTTCAGACTATAAATTTCAAATGAGTCTTCCTCTGTGCATTCACATGGGTGCTGTCTTTAGATTTATCCTTGGAATTAATAATATTTGGATGACTGGTAACCCCCAATTCCAGCAGAAGAGAATATCTGGAGTTCAGGGTTGAACTGGGGAGTTCTTGGTGCTCTCTGAGCCTAGTTGTTTGCTTGCTGATGTTTCATTACCAACTAGAAACCATCACCTGTGAACATCTTCAATATGAAGATGTTACCTAGTTGGGTAAGGAAATATCTGCAAACAGACAACCAATCTCCCAGAACACCAAGAATTCCATATCTCACCAATATTATGCTCTCTTTTCTGGAAACCAATTGGCCTGTCAGGGAAGATGAACTCCAGCTCAATGTTTCTAATACAAACACTGAAGTGGGGTATATTGTTTCTGCAATGCAAAGTATCTCAAAGGAGAGTGCACCTGCTTCTCCTAACTCTGATGTGTGTGTGTTTGTGTGTGTATACAACCAGTTTTGGTCACCACGACGTAAAAAAGATGTTGAGACTCTAGAAAGAATGCAGAGAAGAGCAACAAAGATGATTAGGGGACTGCAGGATAAAACATATAAGGAATGGTTGCTGGAATTGGGTATGTCTAGTTTAATGAAGAGAAGGACAAGGGGTGACATGATAACAGTCTTCCAATATCTCAGGGGTTGCCACAAAGAAGAGGGAGTCAAGCTATTCTCCAAAGCACCTGAAGGCAAGACAAGAAGCAATGGATGGAAACTTATCAAGGAGAGAAGCAACCTAGAACTAAGGAGAAATTTCCTGACAGTTAAAACAATTAATCAGTGGAACAACCTGCCTCCAGGAAGTTTTTGGGAAGAGACAGGACAACCATTTGTCTGAAATGGTATAGGATTTCCTGCCTGAGCAGGGGGTTGGACTAGAAGACCTCCAAAGTCCCTTCCAACATTGTTATTATTGTTGTTATTATTATTATTATTATTATTATTGTGTGTGTATGTGTGTGTGTGTTTCAAAGTACATTTAGATTTATTGAGACTCCTCTGTATTGTTTCAATGATTGTTTCTACATAAAGGCAGAAACAAGAAATTTACATGGATAAAGTTACTTTTTTCTATATAGCAATTCTAGATATACGTACCAAGGAGAATGGAAAGGATCCTCAGTGTAATCAACATTGAAATAATTAAAATAATTCCATCCATGTGAAATTATATAATTTTATTACAAGTAATCATATATGTAGTTGTATAAATTTTGGTCCTAGGAGATAAAAGTAGCTTTCTTCATGATTTTGTGTATGTGAATGTGGCTGGTCTTTTAAAAAAAACCTAAATAGATTTGATTTTGGTTGGCATTTGGAAGTGTGACACCAATTTGGACACCATAAGGAAATCCCAGGTATATAGTAGACTTGAAAGTTGGAAAACTCCCATAAGAAGACCGTGTTAAATATTTCTAGAATGTACAGTATATATGAATATGTATCCAAAATTGTAAATTCTAACATGAACCCTTGTAAATAAATGTCTCACTGTGGCATGTTATGCCTTGCAGATACTGGGTTACTTTGACTATGCTTTCACAGCCATCTTTACTGTGGAAATCCTGTTAAAGGTAATTAATTGTTCACTGATCCTTGTTAATTCAAACACAACTTTAGCAATAATGTCTGCTACTTTTTCTTTACCTTCCATATACTTATGGAGATAGGATACTTTTTGTTAAAGTTTTAATATATTTTTCAAACCTTTGGGTGCATGTAGAAGTTCCTTTTTATCATCACATTAATTTGGCAGTTTATTTTAACCCTTTTGCTTTTTAAATCTGTCAGAAGGAAAACATATCTCTCTGTGATGGATTTTTCTATTTATTTTTTTTTTAAAAAAAGGAAAGATCACAAAAGAATATAAATTTTCAGAGGAGAAACATGTTATTTTTCATTGCTTTTTGTGAAATAGATTTACATAGAGCTAAAATAGTATATTATTATGTTCTTGCAAAGCACTGTTATGCTTTGCAAGAACATATATCACTATGTTCTTGAAAAGTATAACAGTGTTTTTTCCATATTTTAGTACAGAAGTGTACAACCTTTTTGCAGCCAAAGGGTACATTTGGTCTTTGAGGCACAGCTCTGCAAAAAACTGCATAAGGCCAAAAGAAAAGAAAAAAAGTCATTATATGATTATTCATGATATATTTTCATGATATAGTTTTCTCTCCTATTAAAATTATTATTAAAAACTATAAGCATTTTCTGAGATGAAAAACAAGTTGTGTAACCCTCTTCTAAGAAAGCCGTGCTATGTAAAATCCTAAAAACTAAAATGTCTATGGAGATTCTCGGTCATCCAGGTCATGGTTGTCCCAAAGGTGCTTTTCCAAGAGACAACTAGACTTTCTTTGTTTTTCCTTGAAGATGTTTCGCTTCTCATCCAAGAAGCTTCTTCAGTATGAAGCGAAACATCTTCAAAGAAAAACAAGAAAGTCCAGTTGCCTCTTTAAAAAGCATCTTTGGACTAAAACTAAAATGTTTGGCAGGTACATTATGTAAGCATGAAAGCTATTGATAGCAAACCATGATTCTTTTTGAGATGTTGGTATTTTATTTTATTTAGTAATTGATTGATGTTTAAAAATGCTGTGATGTAGTATTAGATCAAGATTTTTAATCTTAACAGAGAGAGCCCCTTTTTCTTTGCATTCTGAATGATATAGAAAGCAACATTCATCCTCTGCAGACATCTTGTAAACAACCTATAAATGATTCAAACTGGGACTATTATGTTTTCAGCTAACTGTATTTGGAGCCTTCCTTCATAAAGGGTCTTTCTGCCGGAATTATTTTAACTTGCTAGACTTGTTGGTAGTAGGTGTTTCCCTTGTGTCATTTGGCATTCAGTAAGTATTGCTCATTTTGTCTTTTACTGTATTCATTTATGACTTGAATATAAACAGTACTATTTCCCCATCGTACGGAAATGATCATATCTTGTGGGCTTGGCATCCTATATCAACCTTGATGACTAACAAATTGTAATCCCTTTCCCTTGAGAAATAGTCATAGGTATTTTGCAATACCTAGAGTTCTATTTCAATAACTTACAAATTCTTACAATCTATATGAGTCCAGATTTTCTGGGAAATGTTTTAGCCTATCTTTCTATAATCAAACCTGCATCTTCAATTTCATGCATGTATTCATTACTTTCATTAAGTCCTGTTACATCATTTCCCTAATCTTAGCATCACAAGCAGAAAACATGTTTTTCTTTAATATTGGTAAGATAAGATAAGATAATCTTTATTGTCATTTTTTTTTACCGTGGGCACATTGGCCCACATTAAAAATGAAAATTAGTTGCTTGCTGTCAAAGTGTACACATACATAACACACATTTAAACATGCTATATGCAACATATGTATAAACCTTACATATAAATAACCTATAAATATTAATCACTGTCCATTTTGAATACATAACGGAAAGAGGAAGCTTTAGAGTTCACAAGATTAATACTCTGTTGTTTATTAATTCATGTTCTTTACTATTTCCCCATTTGATATTTCAAATTTCAATATTGTGTTTTATGTGGTCATAAATCCGTGGGCCTATAGATACTAGATCCTAATGTCTGCCACCCAGGATGGTTTTAGTTAAGCCAGACTTTCCAATAATAATTTCAATAATAATTTCAAGGAATGCTCCCAGCATTCCTTCATAATGGTAAGGATAGAACTGATCAGCAGGGGCAGATTTTGGCTGGGATGCCACTAGGGCAATCAATGCTCAGTTGTAATGCAAATATGTTTGTGGTATTTTGAAAGTAAGGATGGGTTAACTAAGCTTCTGTGTACTTTCTATCACCCTCCCATGATAGCATATGATGCTTAGGTTGATTAAATCACTGTTGTAGAGGTTTTCCGTTTTGATCACATTTATTCAACTGTACTGGATATTGCCTATATTATATTTCAAAATGTTTTGTCATTTAGGGATTATATTTATTATTAACATTTTAATTATACTTTTATTGTGGAACTCCTTGGAGAAACAAATAAGGAGATTACAGTTCTCAAAAAGAGGATTAATACAGGTAGTTCTCAGCTTACAACAGTTTGTTTAGCGACCGTTCAAAATTATAACAACACTGAAAAAAGTGACTTATGACTCTTTTTCATAATTGCGACGGTTACAGCTTCCCTATGTGGCCACATGATCAACATGCAGACGCTTGGCAACTGGTTAATATTCATGATGGTTACCACGTCTCAGGGCCATGTGATCACCTTTTGCGACCTTCTGACAAGCAGTCAGTGGGGAAGCAAGGTTCACTTAACAACTGTGTTATTAACTTAACAAGTGCAGTGATTCACTTAACAACTATGGCAAGTAAGGTCATAAAATGGGGCAAAGCTCCTCTAACAACTGTCTTGCTTAGCAACAGGATTTTTGGGTACAATTGTGGTCATTAAATCGAGGACTACTGGTATTGTTGTGGTTTTTATTCTTATTGTAAATCATCTCTAATATGTAGACTAAGAGATAAAAATACAAACATATTTATTTATTACCGTATATTTTACATTCATTACATAAACAAATAAGACAACTGCAAAAAATTGAGAAAGTTTTTTTGTTTTGTTTTTTTAAGTCTAGAGGGAAAAACAAATTGTGTAGCTATTAAAAACCTGGATGGACAAGTTGTTTGCTGCCATATACCTTATTTTATTCTGTTTGTTTACTAGTACAGTATTAAATTCATTAAACAAGTTTTAGAAGGATTAAGGAATGGCTCGCTGAGGCATTCCAAGAGATTCTTTTGCATCAGAGAGATGTAGAACAACAACAACAAAAAAAAAACCAACAGTGTTAATTTTTTTTCCTGGAAACAAATTTCAGAATTAATGGGCTGCTGCATGCATAAGTATTACGTAACTTTATAATATTAATTGAGTAGCATTAAGTCATGTCAAGCTAATGTTTGTTTTGCTTTTCGTCTAGATCAAGTGCCATATCAGTTGTGAAGATTCTAAGAGTTTTAAGAGTCTTAAGACCATTAAGGGCTATTAACAGAGCAAAAGGACTTAAGGTTTTTATCTGAATTCTCTTTGAAAAGTGTATATTCTGTTTATAAACAAAATCATCATAATAGTTTAATATGTCAGTTGCCTCGATAGAGGTTACCTTAAAAATGCCCTGGGGACTTTTAGCTCAAATAAATCCAGCATTCTGTCTGTATTGTTTTGAGATTCATATTTCTCAATGGTGTTTGAATGATGCCTTTCTCTTTTCCAAATACTTTTTTTTTAAATTTTTTATTAGTTTTATTTAACATGGTGGCAAGGCCATCAATTAATCAAAACATAATCATATTTATACAATTCAAATTATTTCAATATAATTAACTCAGTTATACATATAAATAATCTATTATTATTTTAATATATCCTACTTCCCCTTAAGTCAATACTAGTAACTCTATTTCTATACTCCCTCCCACCCCCATCCCC